CCCCACGCGTGCGCGGGGGGACCCGACCCCGGCACCGGCCGAGTTAGCGGATACTGACATCTCCCTCACCGCTCTGCAGCTTCTCCCGCTCAATGGACCACACCAGCTCCTGCACAAACTTCATCTCTGAAGCCACCTGCTTGGCTAACGCCTCGTAGTGGTTCTCCAGCTTTCGGTAACGCCTCTTGAGGCCATTGGCCACCTGCACCACGCTCTTGGTCTCCTCCTGTGCCTGCTTCTTCAGGGCCTCTGTCTTCTGCAACTCCTGCCGGATCTGGCGGAGGTCCTGGCTGATGCTCTCGTTCTCCTCTTTGTACCATGACTCCTTCTCCTCATAGATGGACAGCAGGGCCTCGATGTCCTCCTGGAAGGACTTCTTGTTCCTCTCCAGCTCTCGGAGGCTCTCCTCGGCTGCAGCCACCTCCTCCATAACCTTGGAGAAGCGCTCGAAGTTGATGTACGTGTTGTTTGGTGGCATGCTGGAGTGGGACTTGATGGTGTATTCCTTCAGGCGCGTGGTCTTCAGCCGGCGGCGCTCGGGCTTCTTGCAGTTATCTTCATTGCGGACGTTCCTCCTCTTGATCACCTGCGGAGAGGGACAGCCACAGGCGTGGGGTGCAGCCAGGGCAGCAGGAGCCAGACAGCTTTGGCACCCACCCACGGTCCCTCAGCAGCGTGGTCACCAGCGGCACCAAACCAGCCCCAACTGGGGGTTGGAAGAGCTGTGGAGAGCTGCCGGTGCATCAACACCTACCCCCAACCTCTTGGATGTTTGATACCCAAAAAGTGCCGATTCTTTAACGTCTCACCTTAATCCAAGGGTGTTCCAGGCTTTGAGCGATGGTCATCCGCTTCCTGCAAAGACAGCGAGGCTGCAATCGAGGGGCAGAGGCTTTGCTGCCTCTCTCCCTGTTAAAGTCCTGGAAAAGCAGCTTGGATCCTATCACCTTTGGGGCACGGACGAGCCCAGACAAACTCGCTGTATCCACGGACCACCCCAGACAGGGGTCGCATCCAGCTCCCACGCCCTCAGCCTGCCTCCCAAGAGCAAACACACGCAAAAGAGCCCGCAGGAACCTCCTGACCGATGTCCGATCATGCAGCACCACTGCTCCCACCCCAGCCCAGGGTCCTGGGTGCTCAGGTAAGCCCTTGATCCCTTCCAAACCCCGTTCCCTCCTTTTCAGTTGGGCCGCTGCACTCTCAGGGCAATTCCAGCATTCACCCCATGCCTGATGCGGGCGAGAGATTTTGGGTTCCAGATGTTTTGCAACACCAAAATCCTACAAGCAGCAGGAGGGAAACGGGAAGATAAATGGGATTTATAAACAAACAGCACAATAGGGACGGGTAAAGGCCTCCGGGCTGGCAGCAGGCATGCTCAGAGGTAAACCCTAGTGCGGGCAGGAGATGTGGGAGCTGCCTGTCCATGGAGGGTCGGGCAGAAGGGACCCTTCCCTCTCCCAGGCTAATCCCCAGCTCTGCTCCCTGTCTCACTTGGGGTCCTTGACGAGCAAGCGGCGGATGAAGTCCTTGGCCAGCTCGCTGGTGTTGCTGAAATACTCCTCGTCGAAGTCATAGTTGACAGCGGATATGTTGGTCAGGGTCTCTTGCTTCGTTTCCCCAAGGAAGGGGGAGGCTCCGCTCAGCCTGCGGTGAGAGCAGGCTGTGACACCCCAAAAAGGCAACAGCCCGAGGTGGGGGGCTCACCCTGCAGCACCCATCTCCCCTAGACTCCCCTTATACTCACAGGATGTAAGTGATGACCCCGATGCTCCTGAAAGAGAGGAAGATGAAGCTGAAGCCACATACAGCACCGTCAGTCCCCTCTCCCTGCGCTTTCAGCAAGAGGGAAGATGTGCCGGCACAACCCTGGTCCCGGGAACCAGCCACTGGTGCCACTGGAAGGTGCTTGGGAGGGGAATCACTCACCACATGTCGGCCTCCAGCCCCAGGGGTTCGTAGTTCACAATTTCTGGGGCTTTAGAAGGAAAGAGGGGAGTAAACAGGCTTATTCTGGGGGCAACAACCCTGTCCCCACAGACACATCCCAGCAGCTGCCCAGCCTGCCACACCAGGGCTTTGGGCATCTCCCCGGGATCAAGCCAAAGCTTTCAGAGCCCAGAGGAGCCCCACGGGAACACCGCCAGCCTGGTCTCACCTACAAACTCTGGGGTCCCAAATATATTCTTGAATTCATTCCCAGCTTCAATCTTGTGGGCAATCCCGAAGTCGATGAGTTTGATGCGAGGGTTTGGCACGTTCTTGTCCAGCAGCATGATGTTCTCCGGCTGCGGGAAGAGAGAAGCCAGCGTTTACCCTGACACACTCGCCTGTGGAAGCTTTGTGCTGCCCTGGGCTCCTCTCCCTGGAGGAGAAGACACACGCCTCAAGTAGGGAGAGATCCCAGAGCCAGCCCCGCTGCTCCACAGGAGCCTGGATGATCGTCTCCGCTCCCCAGCTGCTGAGCACGGGGCGTTTGCTCCTCCCAGATCTCACCTTCAAGTCAAAGTGGGCGATGCGCTTGGAGTGCAGGTAGTGCACCCCGTCCAGGATCTGCTTGAGGAACTGGGTGGCCTCCTCCTCCGTCAGGGACTCCTTTTCAGCCAGGAAATCAAAGAGCTCGCCGCCCGAGACCAGCTCCAGGATCAGCACCACGTCCGTCTTGTTCTCGAAGATGTCGTGCAGTGTGATGATGTTGGGGTGCTGGATCTCCCGCAGGATGTCCACCTCCCTCTCGATCTCCTCCCGGCTCACACCCCGACGGCTGGATGACAGCCGACGCTTCTTGATGAATTTGGCTGCGTACTCCAGACCTGTTTTCCTCTCCCGACATTTTCGTACAATGGCAAACTGGCCGCTGTGGGATGTGGGGAGGAGGTGAGGAGAGGATGTCCTGCATCGCACGTGCCGGCATGTGCTTGGCAGCAGGGTCAGCACCGGCATGAGGATGGGGGACGCTGCGTGCAGGGACGCTGCGTTGTGCAGGCAGACACACAGTTTCCCCGGGGTCTGTCAGGAATTGGGGTCCTCCCACATGCAGCCAATGATGCTCGCCTGTTCCCTGCACGCTCCCGGGGTTTACACATCCTGGCATGGCCGTAGCAGGCGTGTAAATTCCAGCGCTGCCCGGGGTGGAGGAAGAAAATTCCTCTCAAGGACATGGCAGCTTCCAACCCTCTCTAGGTGGTTCAGGTGCTGCTGTGACCACCCAGGGTGGGAGATGCCCATCGGTCCCTGTTTCCAGCCATGAGCACCCAGGCTGCTTCCAGGAGTGAATCCCAGAGCCCAGCGGTCCCAAGGGACCATAAAGCTCCGAGGGGGAAGGTGACTTGGGGGGGAAAATGCCTGAAATAAGACTAACCAACCATTCAAAGCATGCTTGGCTCAGGGGCCAGGGCCGGGGCGGGGTGGGGCTCGGGGCATCGACAGGCGGTTCAAGGAGCCGAGTCTTGCCAACACTGGCATCAGTGCTACAGCAGGATCCTGACCCTTGTCCCTCCCCGCCCTGGCCAAGCCCCCCGCGGTCCCTCCAGCGGGGTGCACAAGACCCCCTCATCACCTTCCACCCAAGGACGGGATCCATCCTACATCTCCAGGCTGCTCCCTCCCCTCCCCGCGGCCCTGGACATTGGCCATCCCCGCCAGCACAGCGAGGA